ACGGAGGATACCTGACGACGCATCTCCTGCGCCTGCTTCGCAGCCGCAGCATCTGCTAGTTGCTTTTATCACCCTTTCCTAGCCACTGACGCAGCGGCAGTCAAGTTGAATGTATCATAGTGAAGAGGCTGTTACATGCACCGATGCGGGAGTAGAGTAGGTTCTATATTTATATTTCTATCAATGAAGCTTATGAGCCGGTCACCTTCTTGCAACCTTGCGTAATATTATTAGTACTCGGTCCGGACGACACAAGTAACATTCAGCTAATTTATCAGTTTCACATCAACATCAAAGATCAGAGGTTTATATTACTTATAGTATTTATGCCTATATTTCTAATCGGCATCGCTTTAGACAGGACTTTAATAGCTGACAGAATAATACCTCGAATCGGATCCCTTCTTAACTCTGAAATAAATTTCAGAGAATACCGTCAATCGGCAAAAAAAGAGCCAGGAAATGGCTAAAGAGATGAAATTTTAGGACAAAACAACTTTATTGAATTGTACTTCGCTTTGATGGTAATGTCAGAAGAATTTTTTCAGTGATCACGAGCTCGTGGGGATAGTTTGATTTTCATTCGCAGGTAATTAACGGGTTGAGGAGTGGTGAGCCCCACTTAGACCATCACGACGAATCTTGCAAATCCGCATTGTCAGGAATCTGCTTTTCCACGCATTTGTTCGGCTAGATTTCTGGACCCTTCTGCAGTTAGCAGCGGATAGCCTTTGTAGGCGTTCGATAACCATCTACCCCCCCCCCCCCCCCATCCCCCTATACGTATCGAGTGTGTCGAGAACAGTTTAGCATTAAGTCCAAAATCCTTTGCTGCTGCTTTTAGAATGTTGGCGACCTCTTCTGCAGTTATCCGTCGTCCTTCCGTTGTTGACAGGGCTGGACGATTTGGTTCAGTACCGAAGGCCCGTGCCCTCTTTGAGATCCACCGACCTGCTTTAACAGGACAGAATACTGCGTCTCCAGAACGACTGTGAAACCGCAATTCTTACCGACCACTTCAGCGTGGCGAGGCCGAATATTCTTTCCAGTATTGTCTTGCAAAATAATATCTTCCAGGCGAAGTATATAATTGTGATGCTCTAACCCAATTAAAAGATACTCCTACTTTCACATCAGGAAAAAGAAAGTGAGCAACAATCCGCCCCACAAAAGTTGTATTCGCGCTTGGCGAACGTCGATTAATCGGAAGACAGCACGAAGCAGCGCGGGTGTGACTGGGTGTTGCTTAATGACTGGACTTGTGAATCGGCGTAATCCGCGGAGGAGGATAGCGTACCTGGGTTTACTCCTGGGTCGTACCCAGTTGTATGCTTGTGAAACCATCTGACTGCGCATAGTTTACTGCAAATTGTTGAATATGTATTTCCAACTCCCGCACGATCCATACCATATCTTCACAAGTAGACTCCACAAGCTCCAAGCTGAGCAGCGTTATCGTTGATTAAGCCACGAAATAACCACGGGCTATACCCCATAAACGCACACCATCGTTCCCACTGGTCCCAAGAGCGTCTGTAGCGCGCACGGGATGTATCGACTAAAGCACCAGCTCGGAGCATAGCTCCCAGACCCTCGAGAGTTTTCTTGAGTTGCGAGGGATCGTGACATGTGTCCATGAAGAAGATAAATCAGCAAACTTCGACGCTATAACAGAGGGTTGCCACAGCCTACTTCCCGCATCAGCCATAATGTTTTCACGGCCAGGAACATGAATAGCTGAAGAATAGAAATTGTGCCGGACTTTGAACACACTGATAATTTTTAACAGCAAGTGAGCGAAGGTGTTTCGACTAGAGCGGCGATTGGTCCTTGAGACAGCAGTTGAGTTATCAATTGAAAACTGGACATGTGTTGGGTGAGCTGGGGAAACGATGCCCCATCTCGACCCCCATATAATTGAAGCGAAGACGGCGCTCATTTATTCACGGATGTTGATACTAAACTCGTCAGATGCAGCCCTGTAGAACCTCTCAATTTGTAAACGCTCATCCTCATCAAACTCTACACTACATCCCATTGGAGTTTAAGGGCTATGCCTTTCCTGAACCACGGTGTAAATTTTTCCTCATTACATACCGCCGGGCCCAAAATTGTGGTCATGGTGGTATTCAGTGACATAGTAGTTTCCACTAAGCGAGATCCAATATCTGACTCAATACATACGTGATTATCACACCAGGCCTTACCATCGAAATTGTCTGAACCAACTGCAGGTTGCAACCCCCATTTTGGAGTTGAATTCGAGTGTAAATGAACTATTGCACCCCCAGCGGTCCAGTAATGTTGCGGTGAATCCGTCCAACCGAATGGGCAACACAAGTCTATGACCAATATTCCCAACTCCGGCATTGCCGAGAATCGCCCAACAGCCTCCACAGCAATGGGTATGTTGCGGAAAGCTCCAGCCACATCTCCAGTGCACATCTAGACCTTTCCAGGGTGTTGTTCGCTAATTTGGATAGCTTGCTTTGCTAATACGGCGGCTCCATCATACGTAACAACAACAGAACTTGCCTCTTGAACTTGGTCGTTAACAGAAGTTCCTATGGGTGCGATAAATCATGGATGACTCTGGCGTCCAGAGTCAAATCGGCTTCCCCTTTTTGGACAGCTCCAAACGGACGGAATGTTATGCCGTCAAGTGAAGGTAATAAGTCGATGTCGAGAATCAAATAGTGATCCGAATCTTGCTCTTTTCTGAAACTTTCGAAAATTACATTTAAGGCACGTCGAGCCGAACCGTGGTTTGGAGGAGGCTTTGATTGGACTGGAAATGCAGATCTCCATGTAGGTCGTACTCCGTGGGTCACAATAGCGCTCCATTGCTCTTTGTACTTATAATGACTCTAACATGGAAAATGATCGGGCACCGTCAGTGCTTTATTGGGACGCGGATCGTGCCCCCGAACAAGCCGATTAACGTCTGTCAGTGATAATTTTGATCGTCGAAGGAGCTCGCTATAGGAGCGCTGCTTGACCCGATCAATCTGATACAGCTTCTCGCGGTCTTCCAACACGTACGTCGGATGCGCTTCCGGGGTAGTCAATCCGTATTGAGTTAAAGCAGCTCTTAGTGTATTACGGCCCGTTTCGAGATTCAAACTTAAAAGTCGTTCCCGAGCTAGCTGGGAAGCAGTACAGCGACGTTTAAGCTGCCGGAGAAAAAAATTGAAGTTCTGCATGGTTTTGATAAGATTATGTCGGCACGGGATGGCAAAACTGACGTAATCTTGTATTGGCACTCTTTCATATCCAAGTTATGCCACCCAGCGATGCACTCAATACAGGTTTGGAGCTCTCACCCGGGGAACGAGCCGTTTGTCGGCCAGGGTATCGCCGTAAAGAACCTTTTCAGGTTGAAGATTCCCACCGTCAGAGACATTTCCTTGGCTTCGGACATACTTGCAGAACACCGTTTTACTTGCCCACTTAAGGAGCTTACTACCTGCCTGCGATGGGGTCGCAGCGGCACATCAACGCCGCTAGTGGATGTATAATCCACATTTGGGCTATTTACCTGCCTGCAACTCGTCTGCAGCGGCACAAGTGTCCTAATGATGGATGAGGGTTCCCCATTCAGGACCTCTAGCTGCCTGCGCTGAATACGCAGCTGCTCAAGAATACCCCTATTTCAGGATACGCTAGCTTGGGGGAGGGCGCGCGAAACGAGAAGTGCCGCCCCCACAGTTCAGGCGGATGGAACCTTCTAGA